TCGTGTCCCATCCGCTTGGGTGACGATCGTGTCATTCCAAGTAAAGGACAGACACATATCGGCATGAAAGTACAGGACTATAGCGAAACAGTTCGCGTATATGTCCTACCACTTTTGTCAGGAGTCGACCTCATCCTGGGCATGGATTGGTTGAGAGCCAACGAAGTTATTCTGGACTTCCAGTACAACATTGTCTCGTTCAACAAGAACGGAAAGGCAATCCAGTGGCAAGTCAATGATACTTTGCCCACTGAAACACAGACGCCTGAACGTCCCAGCGCGCTGTGTGTGTTGGCCAACCAATTCGGGCATTCTGTTAAGTCGGCTGATACACTATTCGTGGTACAGCTTGAGAATGTCGAGGCCTCGGAGCCAGCAATTGAGGATTTCCCTCCTCAAATGAAAATACTGGCAGAGGAATTCAAGGAAGTGTTTGAAACCATCCCTGATGGACTTCCGCCTGACCGCGCAGTGGGTCACACCATCCCTGTTGAACCAGGAAAGGTTCCACCCTTTCGACCTCTGTATCGCCTCAGTCCAGCTGAGTATGAAGAGGCCAAACAACAGATCGAGGAATACCTCAGAAAAGGATGGATTGAACCCAGTGCATCCCCTTACGGAGCACCAATTTTGTTCGTTAACAAGAAGGGCGGAGGATTACGCATGTGCGTAGATTATCGTGCCTTGAACAAGATTACGGTGAAGAACAGATACCCTCTACCACGAATTGAGGATCTGTTCGATCGGCTCCAGGGAGCTCAGCGGTTCAGTGCGCTGGACTTAGCTCAGGGGTATCATCAGCTACGAATCACCGAAGAAGATGTTCCAAAAACGGCTTTCAGAACGCCGTTCGGGCATTTTCAGTGGCGTGTGTTAAGTTTTGGCTTGACAAATGCTCCCGCGTCATTTCAGCGAGCAATGAATGATGTGTTTCGGGAGGCAATCGGCCAATTCGTCCTGGTATACTTGGATGACATCCTCGTGTACTCGAAGACCGAAGAAGAACACACGCAACACCTGAAATGGGTGTTAGGAAAACTGCGAGAGCATAAATTCTTTGCTCGATTGTGGAAGTGTCACTTCTACAAACGCGAGTTGGAATACCTTGGTCACTTGGTAGGCAACGATGGCCTCAAAGTTGATCCAAAGAAAGTGGCGGCAGTCCAACAGTGGCCCGTTCCACAGGACGTGGGACAGGTCAGATCATTTCTTGGACTTGCGAACTATTTTCGCCGTTTCTTGGAAAATTATTCCTCCGTAGTCGCTCCACTGACTGCCCTCACTCGTAAAGGAAATGCTTGGCAGTGGACCGATCAATGCCAGAAGGCATTTGAGGAGGTAAAGACCATGCTGACCAATGCTCCAGTGCTGGCTTTGCCAGACCCGTCCAAGCCCTACGAGGTGGTAACTGATGCCTCGACTGTAGGGATTGGCGCAGTTCTTTTACAAGAAGGACGCCCCGTGGCATTTGAGAGTAGAAAGCTTACACCGGCTGAGCAGCGCTATACAACTTCCGAACAGGAATTGTTGGCGGTTGTGCATGCGCTACGAACATGGAGATGTTATCTCGAAGGTGTTGACTTCGTGGTCACGACCGACCACTGTCCGAACACCTATTTTGCCACTCAAGCCACACTCACCCGCCGTCAAGCTCGATGGGCTGAACTCCTGAGTGGGTTCACCTATGATATTCGATATCGAGCGGGCTCGACGAACATGGCTGATCCTCTGAGCAGACAGCCGATTGGGGCAGCAACGGGTGTTGATGATAAGGAACATGAAGCTGTGTTTGCTGCTTGTTTCAACATCCTCGCAGCTGCTCGAGTGAGCGAGATTGCCTTTGGTGGTTTTCTGAAACGCATCCGCGCAGGGTATGATATTGACCCTTGGTTTCAGAACCCACAGAATACAAACAATCTCTTGTGGGAGCATGAGCTCTGGTGGCACAAGAAAGAAATTGTAGTCCCACATGTGGGAAACCTGCGGAATGATATTCTCGCAGAGGTGCACGCCACTAAGTATGGAGGACACCTGGGTGTCAAGAAAACCCGGTGGGCCCTCAGTGATGTATACTGGTGGTCGGGATTGGGCATTGAGGTCCAGCAGTTTGTAACTCGCTGTGACACGTGTGCACGGAACAAGCCGAGCACACAAAAGCCTGGTGGTCTGCTTCAACCACTTGAGATTCCCGATGAACCTTGGGAGAGTGTATCGTTGGATTTTATCACCGATCTCCCCAAGACGCGAGATGGTCATACAGCGATACTAGTGTTTGTGGATCGCTTGACCAAAATGGTGCACTTCGTGCCCACGACGACTGACGTGTCTGCGGAAGATACGGCAAAGTTGTTTGTGACACACGTTTTCCGCTTACACGGTTTGCCTCGTGTGATGGTGTCTGACCGAGACCCGCGCTTCACAAGCCGGTTCTGGCAAGAGGTCATTAAGACACTCGGAACGAAACTCAAGATGTCGTCTGCGTTCCACCCACAAACGGATGGACAGACAGAGCGGACCAACCGCACTCTTGAGCAAGTGCTTCGTTCTTTCATAAGCCCAACTCAGGACGATTGGGATGAATTGTTGCCAGTCGTAGAATTCGCTGTGAACAATTCTGTGCATGAAAGCACACATGAGAAACCCTTTGTCCTGAACTGTGGTCGGCACCCCACAACCCCTGCGACGCATGGGATTAAGAACCTCAAAATCCCTGCCGCAAAGGACTTTATTGGTAAACAGCAAGCGACATTGAAGTCCGCTCGCCATTGGCTGCAGCTTGCCCAACAGAGGCAAAAGTCCTATGCCGACATGAAACGCCGGGAAGTCGTCTTTGCAGTTGGCGACAAAGTATTACTGAGTACGAAGAACATTCGTCTCAAGATCCCGGGAGCACGAAAGCTTTTCCCTCGTTGGATTGGGCCCTTCGAGGTGATTGCGCGTGTTGGTGAGGTCGCATATAGGCTCAAATTGCCTGCGACATTGCAGATTCACAACGTCTTCCACGTGTCTCTGTTGAATAAGTACGTTGCAGAAGGCAAGTACTTACCGCCACCAACCATCGCTCTCGAGAAGGAACTCTTTTACGAAGTCGAGCGTGTGCTAACGCACCGTGATCGACAACGCGGCCGCAAAACTGTTCGTGAGTTCCTAATTCAGTGGAAAGGCTATGGGCCGGAACACAACTCTTGGGAGCCTGAGGAACACTTGACCGAAGCAGCGGTTCAAGCGTATATGGAAGACCTGGCTCTACGAGCAGGCCCACAACCAGTGGACGGGGTTGACCCTGGTCGTAATGTGGTGCGCCGTGCTCGAAGCACTCGTCCTCAGAAGCACCCTAGGGCAACGGGGACGTTGCCACCTGGGGGGGGAGGAGTGTAACGTATTACCCCAACTACCGAGCTAACAACCATCGATCTCTCTCTAAGTCAATTGTTGAGAACTTCTCTCGACAAAGGAAGAGTTGGAGAAGATGGTTGAGTTGGTTGGGATGAAACTTGGTTTGGGTTTGCCAAGCCTCAACTTTGGAGGTTTGGAACATTTCCAACTCAACCAAGAGAATGTTGAAGGTTGGAATTCCAACCAATCAGAAACTGCCAAACAAGTGTTACAATCTACTCTATCCTAAACACAACCATTGAATGGTTCTAAGTTGGGTTTTCCAACCCAACACAATTGCCACATAGGCTCCAAGCCTAGGAACCATCCCACCATGGAAACCATGGTTGGGATAGTTCCCCAAGGGGTGTATTGAGGGGGTCTGAGCTAAGCAAGCTCATTCTCAACCTCCCACTCCAACAAAACAATTGGAAATGGGATTGTTTCTCTAAGTCCTTTTGGGCTCTCTCACAAGTCTCCCTACACTACTACTCCAAGTGCTTTTCATCAAAGGCATCAAGAAGATCTTCATCTCCAAGGCTATTAAGGCTAGTTAAAGCTACTATTTTGTATTGGAATATTATAAAAGCCTTGTAACCGCCATTATAATAGCCCTGGGCATTACAACCATCGTCATCTGCCATAATGGCCCGGCTCATCCGCGCAAATTCTACGCTTCCTACCCTCTTCGTTCTCCTCGCAATTGCCGTAGGCCTTCCTTCCGCATTTGCGAAGGTCGATCTATATACTGTGTGCGGGCGGAAGGAGGCAAAGGATGGCGCAGTGTCGTTCAAAGTAGTCACGTACAACACGCTGCTCCCCATCAGCCAGCCCGTCTCGCCGCTCGACGCGGTCATTCCCCCCAAGGGCTCCGTCAGCATCACGGGCGACTGCACGTACGCCGTCGACTCTGCGTGCAATATCGTAAAGAAACGTACGTGAAGGTGTTACTAACACCTCATGTTATTGATGAGATCAGGACAGTCAGTCATTGTCGTCTCGTGACGTGACGAGCTGAATTCCCAGCAGACAAGAGACTGCATCAAACGAGATTTCTCAGCAAAGAATGCTGCATTCAGGAGTTGCTGCTTCGCTTCTTGCCTCTACGTATTCCCTGCATCCTTGTATCCTTCGAACGTTTTCAGCTCCACGTTCCATCATCGTTCCTGTACATTTCCCCTCTTGGTTCGTTTTCTCGCAGTGCCCAAATGCAAGGCCGGTACGTGCTGCGTCTACTCCAAGCGTCCATTCCGTCTGGCTCTAAACTCCACGTGCTCCTCCCCCAACTGCCGCGTTTGGGCGTCTGAGTTCTCTGGTCGCTGCCTCGGCGGTGCTGCAAGCAGCAAGGGCAGCAAGTGCAATAAGGCGTAGGGCAAATGATGCGCAATGTTGCGGGAGTTTCGATGGCTACCAAAAGGGCAAATGATGGCGGCAGGAAAACCAAGCGTGCAATCTGAAGGAGTCCTGTGCAGGGTTTGTGCTTAGCTGACTCGTCCTCAGATCGTTTTCTAGCGAACTGGATTATATACTTTCAGTACAACGACAGGACTTCGCTTAATTTACACCCTATATACATGTACCCTTTACATTAAGCAACTTATTCCACGAACACCGCGACGTTCTGATCAATCCACAACCTGAATAAGCTCAAAGAGCTTTCCCTTAATGGCCTCCTCGAGCACTATCATAGGAGACATCTCCTTTCCTTCCAGCACCGCCGCCAGCAGCATCCCCTTGCTGAACCCCGACACCAGCGCCACCCCATCCTCACTTGCAGCCACCGGTGTGCTGCTCTGAGAAGAATCACCCCTCAGGTTCCAATACACAATCTGCGGCACAGGGTAACCCGCCGCAGCGTACTTGCACACGATCTCCTGGTGGTCCGTCTCCCAGTCGGCCCCACTAGCCCTGCCCGCCTCATCAAACTGCATGTTGGAGAACACGTAGAGGCGCTGCACCATGTCGGCCGGGTCCAGCTGGAACTGCTGCGCGCAGAACAGCAGCAGGTCAAACACGGCCAGGAAGTTGGTGTTGTAGCCCCAAGCCATGTGCTGCACGCTCCTCACGCGCTCCACCAGGGTCTTCCCCTCCACGCGGTGGGTCATCGGCTTTGCGGAGAAGGTGATGAGGTGGTTCTTCCACGGGTCGCTGCTCACCTCGCTCACGAGCAGCGAAAGCGCAATGGCCACCTCCATGGGCGTGCCGGACATGCTCCCCGGCACATCGCACACCGCCATGCTGTTCCCCAGGGACCCCTTGCTGCGCACATCAGCCACCATGGCCTTCCACTGCAGCTCGCCCACTGTATCATGGCTGTCCTCCGCGGCTTCCATGGCTGCCTTCACCACTTCATGCGGCAGCAGTGCCCCAGCAGCGATCTTGGCCGCGCCACCCTTCACATCCGCTAGGTACTCTGTGAACCGGGCCTGGTCGTGGGAGAGGAAGAGCTTGCGGGTCTTGTTCATGCACACGGACGGCACGCGCCCGTACGCCACGTGCTCCCACCGCCCGCTGCTCATGTGTGCCTCGGGCACCTCCAGCACTCTCCGCAGCGGCGCCAGCACCTCCCTCTGCAGCCTCTCCTTTGCCACTCGCATGTACCCCCCCGCGCCCGCTGCTGCTCCGCTGTCCACATCCATCCCAGAATCAGCAGCAGGAGCAGAGGAGGAAGGGGAGGAGGAAGAGGAGGAGAGGGGGGAGAGGAGGAGGGCGATGGAGGAGGTGAGCAGTGTGGATTGATCGAACGACTTGCCAAGGGAGGGGGCCCACTTGGCTGCCAGAGAGAGCTTCGGCGCCGGCCTCCCCATCCACTTGTGCTTCTTCTTGGCCTCGCCCCCATTCTCACCGTCCTTCTTGCCCTTCTCCTTCGCCACCCATTCCTCCCCACGCTCCTGCTTCTCCTTTCTGCCCATCAGGTCGCCCCTGCTCGCTTGCCAGCTGCTCCTTTTCACCATCTCGTTCCAAGCCATGGCATCATTCTCATCCGAGTCTAGCCATTCCTCTGCAACAAGTTCCGCGCAACTCCTCTCCTTTTTCCCGACGCCAGAGATCCTTATCCCGGTGCTGCCCTTTTCCTGCACCTTCTTTCCCTCTCCACCACTCTCGCCTTCCTTCTTGTTCTCTTCTTGCACACCCTCTTCTTTCAACCCCTGCCCCTCTGCCTCCGTTTCCTCAGTAACCTTGTCCTCTGCCTTTGCCTTCTCCAACTCATTCTTCTTCTCCTCCTCCTCCATCGTCTCCTCCCCCTGCACCCCCCCACCCTCTGCGTTCTTCCGCGCACGCCTCTCTTCAAACTCCCTCATCGTCTCTAGGTCCCCCTTCAGCGCAGCTGCAAAGATCGCCGCCACCGCGTTGTGCACGGCGCGCAGCCGCTCGCTCGACTCATACGCGTGCGCCACAGCCGCCGCCCTCCGCGCGTGCGCTGCCTTGCGCGCAACCGCCGCGCGCTCGCTCTCCTCCACCATCTGCCGCCGGTTCTCCGCCACCCGCTCCTCCAGACTTTTCCGCTCCGCCCTTCCCCGCTTCGCTAGCACGCATTTCTACTCTCCCATACTCCCTTCCCTGTCACGCATTTTACGCATCTTCTTTCCCTCATTCGTGCCATTCCAAGCCACGGTACCGTCCTCCAAGACGTCTACGCCTTCTTCCGCCAAAGCGAGCCGCACGATCTCCAAAAGGTCCTTAAAGCATCCGAACTCCGGAACCAGCCATAGGTTTTGAATAAGCGTCCGCGGGTGGTTTTGATAAAGCCGCGTGACGCAGTGGAAGAAGCTGGAACGACCGCTTTTACCCGTGCCGCGCACCGCGCGCAGCTGCATCATCAGCCGCAAAGCCGTGGCTGGGTCCTCTGCCCACGCGGCCTCGAGCCGCCGGTGCGCGTCGTCGCGCTCGGTCTGCGGAAGAACGTGGAAGAGGAAATCCACGCACGCGCTCCCCGATGACACGTAAGTGTGCGCGAAGTTCTCCGTGAGGCCCCGTTCCGGCTCGCTTGCGCCAGACTCCAATTTCATGTCGCCGATGGCATTTTCGACGCTCTTGGAACGCGTCGCGTTGTCCGCGTGCTTAGAGGACGGAACAGCTTGAACCTGTGGCAGTTTCTTGGAAGGGTCATCCTCGTTGACTGGACGACGCGCACGCAGCTTCTGAAGAAAAGGCAGGGCCGAGGCAGGGCATTGTGTCAGGATCGTAGACGCCTCAATCGACAAAAGTCTGCTTGCTATTGTCGATGACGTTCTCCTCGTTCTCACGATTCCAACGATATGCGCAGCGGTTAATTCTGTCAACGCTTCACTAACGTTTTACTGTTTTCTGTTTCACCAACGCTTGACTGGCGCTTCACTGGCGCTCTGCAGAGGAATTCGGTTCGCGATTCCTTCACTAGCGTATGGCGAGGTCTCCGCGCGAAAATACACAATCGCTAGTGACTCGCGAGGCCTTGACCAGGGCTCCACTAACCCTTCGCGAATGAATCACAAATGTGCCAACAACAAGTATCGAACTTGGCACTCTAAGATGCAAGGATATTGTAAGGTTGTATTTCAAATAACTAGCACACACACTTATATTAACCCCAAGCACACAAGTAACCGAACCAAAACGTGTCCCACAAGCAAACCCCTTGGTAACAAACTTGTACCACACTCCAAGTGTCACGTCGAGTTGCACACGCAACCGACCCTGCTTCGTCAAACACTCCCAAAGTCTGAAAAACAGAAACTTGTCGAACACGCCATGAACCTAACCCAATTTCTTCCCCGTCAACCAATTCTTCTCCCCTAGTCAAATCTTCACCAATCTTCCTCCCATTTCACTCAACCTTCTTCCCGTAGCTTCCACTTCCGTAGCTCACACGCCAAGCAACTTAGGAGCTTCTTAGCTTCTTCTCTTTGCTTCCTCCACACGCCACCGTAAAGTAGATCGCCGTCGGTCCGAATTTCACCAAGTCGCGCCGTCACTTAGGTGTGGTTCGTCGAACAATTCCAACACATTGTAGCACGTGGCTCTTATCAACTGGAAGCGGGCCTGGAAGGAAGGTGGCGGCCTCAGCCGCCGTGGCTGATATCTGTGGGATTGAAATATGAGGAATTGGCTGGAGGATTCGAAGACCCCAAATGGGAATCTCGAAGGAATGATGAAAATTTCTTGAAAATGACGAAGAAGTTGTAGATTCGTTTCTCGCAAGCAAATCGCTTCTCAAGGGCAAAAAAATTGCTTCCCAGATGCAAGAAAGTCGGGTTACTAGGTTGAGTTGGGTTGGTCTGGGTTGGGGAGTGCAAAATAGGATGGGGTATACACCCTATTTCTCGATACACTTGCAATGGGATTCACTGGCTACAATGCGTACTGTTGCTTGGAATGTAGCGGTCTGGTGCTTACAACCGAACTGCAGGTTGGTGACGGGCAAATGGTCTCCTGGTGAACGGTACACAACGGTTTCCAAAAGGAAACTTGCTTAGGCGTACGGTTGAGTGCGGGCATACGTGCTTATATGGTACGTTCAGGGACCATCCTGGACGCATTGATATGTGTACATCCGATCGACCAATATAGCCAATGACAGTGTAGCGCGAAACAGGGTGTAGTCTGGCCGCGTGTAACGCAGTTGCGTGGATGAAAGGCGAGTGTGCGTAGTGTGGTATGGAGCTTGGTTCCACGTCTCATTGGCCCGCACGCAGATTGACCAGCCGAAACGTGACTTGGACGAAAGGTGGGGTTGCTTGAAGGTTGCCCACACCCATATAAACATCTTCATTTCCATACAACGCATTTGTAATCGTTAAAGTACAAGCCAATCGGGCGAGATTGCATGACATCTTAATTCGGGAGGGGAGACTGGATGAATAAACGCGATCCGTCAAAAGGTTGCCGTTAGGGTGCGTCAGATCCGTTGTCGGAAAAATCCGGCCGGCCGGAATTAGCGAAAGTAACAAGTTTGCAACACTCGCAAAAATTGTCGTCGAGTTCGCCAAATCCGACCATTTCTAAAAAAAATAATGGCCGGTTCATCATTCGACAAAGTTCCGACGTGCAGTCGACTCGAAAGTCGACCAATCTGTCGACCTGAGATCGCTACAGCTACTATGCGACCTCGCCAGCTCGTGCGACGCAATGTGTAACACAATTACTGCATCTGTGACCCCGTCGCACAATCCGGCCACCCTGGCGAACTGAAAAAATGACACATTTGCAAAGCGGTCTGCAAATCGGCCACCAAATGTGTCAGTTTTTTCGGCCCTGTAAAAATTGCCGGATATTGGTCGCTTTTGAAGTCGACCATGTTGTCGACTTTGGTGAAAGATATTGTAGACCAAATTGTCGACCAAATTCCAGCCAAATCACCTTGTAACGTATCTGTATGGAACTATGGATGCAAAAGTACCGAAAAACCGGTGTATGGGCTGTCCAGTTTCGATGAACAAAGCTCACGGCCACGACATTGGGCAGCACTGCGCGGAACAGCCAATCACAAGTCCAAGCGTCAGCATCACATAACAGCTCCTAAAAGATCTCCTTCCACTCCCACATCAGGAAGTGTAGCAAACCCTTACGTACCGTCTCAAAACGCACAGACTACCGAACTACTCATCTGCAACTGCAAACGAGTTTGAACAAGCAAGTGGCGGCAGCAATTGTGTTGCGGGTTCTCTTGTCTCTCACCCCCCCTCCCTGCCTCACCTCACCTCACATCCGTCCATCTTCCTTCTTGCTCCTCTTCTCTTTAGTTCTCTGGTGCAGCTCGTGCATAGCTTTGATGCTTTTGCCCAACAGCACAGGCACTCCTTTGCCCAAACACCTGTTTTGCGAATAACAGAACTTGGCGGCGCTCGTTCTCGAATGTCATTGGTTGTAGATAGGTTGGAACAAGAAGAAACGGCGGCGTGACTCGGCTAATGTGGTCACATGCCTTGTAAACATGTATAAGTTCCAATATTACCAGCTGATCGCATTGAAGCATTGACGCACGAATGGAACTGTAGCATGATCGAAGAAACTAGCTGGGTTGTGTAAAGCTGGGCGACGGCACTGGTAATGGCTTCACAATGAGCAACATTAGCGAACAGCGGAGCGCCTCCGGGCTCAGTTTCTCGTCAGAAACGGCGATAACGCAGCCACCGACAGCCACAGTCGTGGCGAAGACAACAGAGATAACAGCGAGTAGTATTAGGTCGTCATCCCGAAATGGACCGAAATCTTCGTGGTCCTCCTCATTCTCATCCTCCTCATTCTCAACCTTCTCCTCATCATCGTCGTCGTTGTTGTTGGTGCGACGTCAGCAGAAATCGCTATTCCGATGTCTCCTCCTTTCCACGGTCCTCCTTTGGGCCACGACGAATCACCCTGCCGCCGCGGCTTCGGGATTGCCAGTGGAAGAGGAGCACGTGTCCGTTGATGCATCCACTAGCAGCTTGCCGGTCATTGCAACGACACTATCAACACCATTACCGCCTTTAAGAGGAAGCGGCACGTCTAGCAGCAGCAGCAGCAGCAGCAGCAGCAGCAGCAGCAGCAGCAGCAGCAGCAGCAGCAGCAGCAGCAGCAGCAGCAGCAGCAGCAGCAGCAGCAGCAGCAGCAGCAGGAGAATGATTATCAGCGAAGGCAGCATCAGCAGTAGCAACAGCATCAGAAACGTTGTCTCTGAAGGCTTCTACGCCCGACCGAAGCCAGAGGCTGACGCGCATGAAAGCCCTGTTGACTCGGGGGCCGAACCTAACGAGGACGCACCAAAGAAAGGGGTACTAGACGGGGAGGCAGGACTCGTGGCTGTGGTGACCAACCAGGACATGCGAGAGCATTTGAGGGAGCACGCACGCGAGCATCCAAGCATACAATCGGGCTTTTCCAGCTCAAGTGCAGCGGAAGCCAAGTCTTCATCGTGCTTCTTCGCGTCGTTGCCACATTTATCTGCAGCGGCAGGAAAGGAATGGCCCGTGAGTTCTGCAGCACGTTACGGGCATTGCCCATTCGTTCGCCCGGCGACCATTCGTACACCTTGCGCGCTCTGCCACACATTGCAAATGCTCATGAATGGCTTCTGCTACCGGTGCTCCTGGCCGTTATCTCGTCCTGGCTTGCTTATTTGATTGGTTTTCTCAATATCTCTTCTCAATGGTATATGAATGATTTGTCTGCTCATGGCCCAATGTCGCCCGTGCGTCGTACTCCCGGTTCTTCCCTCCTCCAATCCCCTCTCCCTTCCTGTCCCCTCTCCCTCCCATCTCCCCCCAACCCCAGCCCTTCTCCCCCTCACTTCATCTGCTGGCAGCGTGCGTGCTGGCGCTGCTGGCAGCAGCAGTGGCCAACGCAGGGGGCGTGGGGGGAGGCGGTCTCTTCGTGCCGCTTTTCAACCTGCTGCTAGGATACGACGCCAAGTCCGCCACTGCCCTCTCCAAAGGTACCGTGCTCGTGTCACTTCTACGAAATCTCAAAACCTGGGGGTGCTGGTCTCTTCGTGCTGATGTGTTGCCGGAATCATTTAGGCCCCCAAGTGAAATTGCCTCACTCGTGTCACTTTTAAGAAGTCCCACAACTAAGAAACTGGCGCCGGTCTCATCGTGTGGCTATGTCGCCTGCTGCTGCTCGGATCGGATGTGACGCCAAATCGCTTTCGAGAATTCTCAGAAGCGACGCCATGTCCCCCATTGCTCTCTCCAAAGGTACCACCACAGCCATCATCAACCCTCTTCGTTCAACCCCGTCACCCCTCCCTATACCCCTGTCCCTCCCCTCTCTCCACCCCCCCGGCCCCATCTATCCCCCACCCTCCCTCTCCCCACCCAACCTCCCAATCCCCCTCCGCATGTTCGGTCATTTTGTTGGCCCCCATTCTCTCCTCCATACCCCACCCGCCAACCTCCCTTTTGTCTTGCTGTATCTTCTCCCTCCCTACCCAAAACTCTCCCCAGCAAACCACGCCTTGACCCCAACTCGCTCTCGTCCATCCCCTTTCCTCCCTGCGCTTGTGCTGTTTTTCCCTTCCAGCTATTCCCCATCTCCTCCCACTCCCCGCCTCCTCCCAATACACCCCCAATACCCATCTCCTCCCAATACCCATTTCCTCCAATACCCTTTTTCTGGCAGCCATGATCATGGGTGGAGCGATCGCAAGTGCATGCTTCAACCTGCCCTTGCAGCATCCCTTCCATCCCCACCTCCCCCTCATTGACTTCCGTGAGTGCGCTCCTCTCCTCTCTCCTTTGCGTTATCCTCCTCCCACTCCCCTCCCCCTCCCCCCCCTGCTCCCCCCACTCCCACTCCCACTCCCCTTTTCCCTCGTTCTCTCATGCACACGAACACACGTGCAAACATCCACTCGCTTTCCTTCACTCTCCCTTGCTCTATTCCTGTCAGCCCGTCCCTACCCACAGATGCACACACACCCGCACGGACCCATTCCCTCGGGCCCCCCCTCTCTCTCTTGCTCTCCCTCCCTCCGCCTTTTTCGTTCTCGTCGCCTCCTCCCCCACCCGCTTTCCTCTCCCCCTTCCATCCACTCCCTCCCTCCTCCCCCCTTCCTCCTCCCCACTCCCTTCTCCCCCCTCCCTCCTCCCTCCACCCTCCACCCTCCTCCCCTTTCCCTTCTCCCCCATCCCTCCTCCCCCCTCGCTCCTCTCCGCCCATACACCTGTCACCACCAGGGGTGGCACGGTTGATGCAGCCCATGCTACTACTGGGCATCAGCATGGGCATCACATGCAACGTTGTCTTCCCACCATGGCTCCTCACCGCTGTCCTCACGCTCCTCCTCTCGTGTACGTCCGTCCACTGCTGCTGCACTGCACGGCGCCCCCTCCCTGTTTCAAAAGTCCTCTCGCGTACCTCCCCTCTTCTCCACCGCTCACTGCACTGCACGGCACGGCACCACCTCCCTTCTCCGCTTTGTTATGCCAAACCTCCTGTCACTTTTCTAGAAACAGCAACTTCACGCACCTCCAAACATATCGAGGCCTCACTGGGGACCTGCAGTTCCTGCACCTGCAACATACACCTCGCACCACACCACAGACACTGTAAAGACAACCCAATTACCCCCTCCCGCTGTGTCACTCACACAGGCATGGCAGGGAAGGCGGCGCAGAGGGCAGTGGCAATGATGGTGACAGAGGCGCACATGGCAGCAGTGTGCCTGCACGGCTCATACGGCGCGCACCACACCACACCCCTCTCTCTCACCATTCCCTGGCTGGTGCGCTCTGCCTGTAGGTTCCACTATGTACGGCGCTGTGCGGTGCTCTGCTCTGCTCTGCTCTGCTGTGCTCTTCTCTGCTGTGCATGCATGCATGCATGTGCTGAGATAGATCTGGGGGCCACTGAACCGCCTGCCTGCCTGCCTGCCTGCCTGCCTGCCTTCCTGCCTGCCTGCTTACCTGCCTGCCTGCCTGCTTGCCTGCCTGCCTGCCTGCTTGCCTGCCTGCCTGCCTGCTTGCCTGCCTGCCTGCCTGCTTGCCTGCCTGCCTGCCTGCCTGCCTGCCTGCCTGCTTGCCTGCCTGCCTGCCTGCTTGCCTGCCTGCCTGCCTGCTTGCCTGCCTGCCTGCCTCGTATGATGGCTCGTTTCCTGTTGGTTTCCAAGGCTCAACATTCTGTCATGTCATCGCTGCTGTTCCCGCATGCAGCTGGAGGCCCCATCGTCTATGGCCCATCCTAGCCTGTCAGCAGCACCGCCAGGTGCACTGATAGCAACTCACACGCTTCACCAACAACCACTGCCCAGTCATGCCAAAGGTGACCCTTGTAATTCAGCCACCTGACCCGTTTTCATGGCCGAGCTGTGAACGCGTATCTCATTTCTTGAGGTTTCTCTGGAGTTTCTCCTCTTTTTATGTGTCAGAATGCCAGCATAGCACACCATGCGTGTCTTTTGTATAAAGCTCCAGACGCTACAATACCACACCACACCGTGCTCAGCTCATTGCCAACGACACCCACTCCTCCTCACCACCCATCACAACAAACAATCGCTTGAACTAGCCTCTACCCCTCCTGATTCGTATCTTTTCTCTCTCTTCCTCTCCCCTCCTCTCCCCTCATCTCCTCCCTGCTCTTCATTCCATCGGTCCTGTTCTCTCAGCCACACAGTCGTTCTGGTGGCCTGTGCTGGTAAGAGCAGCGTGCGCATCTCAGCACCTTGGAGTCAGTGCCAAGGCTCGGGAGGAGAAGGAGCAGGAGGAGAGCCACGAGCCTCTGCTCTCAGCATCACCAGCAGCAGCACTCGAAGCAGTGGCATCCGTACCACCTGTCTCACCAGTACCACCAGCGCCACCAGCGTCAGCAGCAGCAGCACTGCAAGAACCATCAGAGCGAGGGCCTGCAGCAGCAACACCAGCGGCAGCACCAGCAATACGAGCACCGGGAGCAACATCAGACGCAGCACAGTCAGGCCAGCAGCATGCCGGTTCAGCTGTCACAACCACTGCTGGCAGCTTTGACAGTGGCGGCAGCGATTGCAGTGGTGACAGCAGGGGATGGTGGGAGCAGAAGCGTGTATCAGGAGGGTGTGCTGTGCCACTGGAGTCCCCTGTCAGCGACGCCTGCTGCTCTGGGGTAGACCAACAACCTGGTGGTTGCTGTGTGCATGCAGGCACATGCTGCTGCCATGCTGCGTGTGAGGAGGGGTACGCAGGGAGTGCTGATTACGGAGGTGGGGAGTCCGAAACGGGCAAGGGCAAGCGCCACCGCACATGGTCTGCAGGGGTGAGTTTCGGGACGTCTCAAAAGTCTGTCTCTTTACACGCGGATTTTTTAGACATCTCAAAGTCTGTCTCTTTCCACCTCATATGGACTGCTGAGGCGAGTCCTTATGGGTGTCTTCTGTAAGTCCTCGAGCTGTTCCTGTGGCGCCTTGTCGCTGCGCTTGATTGCGGCCTCGTATCTTGGTCCATCCGTCGCATGCTCAACACCAAATCTGTCTGTCCCACTTTTTGTTCCAACGCCTCGTTTCTACTCCCCGTTGCTTGCTTCTTTCCTTCACTCTTTCTCCCCCTAAACCCACCCAAACCCCGTTCTTCCTCCCCCCTCCCTCCTGGCAGCATGTCTTGAAACCCTTTGTTTTCCGCTTTGCCTGTGGCGCCACCGCACGCCTGTCGGCCTGTGATGTGGAGTGTGTGTGGGAGATGGTAGCGGTGTGGTCTGCCTTTGTGGCGCTGCAAGTGGCCAAGACTCGCGTCGCTGCATGCTCCGCTGTGTACTGGCTGCTAGACTTGCTCCAGGTGCGTGCGGGTGCGTGCGCTTGTGCGCGCGCGTGCGCGCGCGCGCGCGCGCGCGCGTGTGTGTGTGTGTGTGTGTGTGTGTGTGTGTATGTGTGTGTGTGTGTGTGTGTGTGTGTGTGTGTGTGTGTGTGTGTGCACGCGGTGCATGTGCGTGCGTGTGCATGCGCGTGCGTGTGCGTGCGTGTGCATCTCTGTGCATTGCATCGCTCTCTTGTTTACGCGCACAAAGCGCGTTCAGCGTCACCCTTAATGGGCACTGGGCTGAGGTCATGACTCCTGCGTGAAGTGTGCTGACTAACCTTGGGATGACAAATCAGGTGAAGCCTAGGTGAAGCTTGAAGTTTCTCTTCCTCTGCTGTTCCTTCGACTGCTAATTTTACCATTCCTCCCTTACCTCCCTCCACATGATTTTTCCAGCTTCCAGTCGCCCTGGTAGCCACAGCAGCAGTTTCTGCACGGAGGGACTTCGCCCCTTCCCTTCCTCACTCCCACTCCCACTGCCACCAGCATCATAGCACCCCTCCCTTACACACAACCTATGCCCATGAGCACCACCAACCCACTCCCACCTCCTGCTCCCCTTGCCAACCCTCCACAAACGCACCCACTCCCTCTCCTGCCTCCTCCCCCGTTTCTCCACTCCTCACATCCCTCTCAACCCCTGGATACTCCACCTTCCATTCCCCACCGCCATATCCTCCTCACATGCAAGCCGCCTGGAGCCATGGCAGCAGCATCGCCCACACCGCTTACACCCACACTCGCAGCAACAGCAGCGGCAGCAGCAGCAGCGTGTGGGGGGCAGGGGCCGGAGCGTGGGGGAGGGAGGTCTGGGTGTATCCGCTGTCAGCGCTGCTCGCAGGGTGCATGGGAGGCCTGCTGGGAGTGGGTGGAGGCATGGTCATGGGACCCGTGCTGCTGGAACTAGGCATGCTGCCGCAGGTGGGTCGCTCGTTACACGACATCATGCCTTCATGCCATCATGCCATGCCATGTCACCGTCTTTACAGATCATGGTATCACAACCATTAGTTGTATCCCCACCCACCCACCCTTACTCCCCCGTGTCCCTGCCTTTCACCTCTTCCTTTCTTCCCCTTCTCCCTTTCGTCCCTCCCACCAGGTTTCCTCTGCTACATCCTCATTCATAGTGCTCTTCTCCTCCTCCCTCTCAGTCCTCGAGTTCTACCTACTCGGTCGCATCCCCATCCCACCGGCGCTCCTCTTCTCTCTCATAGCAGCGCTAGCAGCCCTGCTAGGCCTGTCCACCATCCGAGCCCTGGTGGTGCGCTCCGGCCGCACGTCTCTCATCGTGCTCTTCCTCTCGCTTGTGATAGCAGCCAGTGCCGTGCTGCTAGGGGCGCTAGGGGTCATGAGAATACGCAGCGACTGGGAGTCGGGTGCACCGATGGGCTTCAGACCGTTCTGTGGTGAAACCTGGTGATGGGTGTGATGTGAACGAGCAAGTTACTAGGTTACCATACCAGCTCTGCTGCTGCTTGTGTGCATGTCACCACTGTGTGATGACGGTTGAGTTGATTCTGCTCGATACGGTATGAGTTGTGCAGCGCACATCAGTTGTGCTTGTGCTCGTTGTCAGTCAGCTGCTCATCAAGCGCATCAACATGCATTGCTGTGAAGTGAATGCTGGCTTGCGTCTTCCGAAAGAATGCACTCCTACTGCGCACATGGGTGGAGGACGGTGGATTTTTCATACACGGTTACTTCATGCCGCCTTCACATCAAATCCAGTATGCCTTCAAGCCCTTGAAATGAATGTAGCACCAGGGCTCAAAATTGCGCTATAAAGGTGTACATATACAAGCTATTGCGGTATTAGCTAGCTATATGCCGAGCTGAGCTCCATCAAGGAGAAGTGGAGCTCGCACACTAGGAGCGCAAAACCAGGAACTACAGTACATATCCTATAGCAAATCATCCTACTGCTACCGTACCTACCCCCTTATTTCCACCATCCTACCACAATGGGATGAACCCTGCCCAATGTCAACAACGTTAACCTGTTATGAGCACCCCGCCGGACTGCACAGCACCGCTCTGTACTACACAGTACACCCCCAGCATCCCTCACCTCACCAGCGACCTACCATCATCACGGGCTGTATGGAATCTTGGTCTCTCCAACCCACGTCCGCAGCTGCAGCAGTTTGCTCGGCATGAACCCCTCCGCCTGGTTCTCACTCAGCTTGCCCGGTCTCGCCCACGCCACTCTCCGTCCCTTAGCCCCCGGCCCTGTCGTGTCGTACTCTGCAAAGTAGGGCCTGCCGCCCCAGATGGTCTTGGTGGTGGCATCTGACCACTCCAACCAGCCTGCTGTGACCACCACCTGAGGGGGGCGGGGGGGAGGGGGGGGGAGAGGGGTAGGGGGGGCAATGAACATCCAGTGATGAAAAGATCTGGCAGTTTCAAGCTCTGCAAAGTAGGGCCTGCCGCCCCAGATGGTCTTGGTGGTGGCATCTGACCACTCCAACCAGCCTGCTGGGACCACCACCTGAGGGGAGGGGGGGGGGGAGGAGGAGGGGGAGAGGGGACGGAGGATGGCGAGATAAAGGGAGTTGAGCAGCCTGGGAGACAGAGGAGAGTTGAGTAGCCAGCAATGGAAAGCGCCAAGCAGTGGGAGGGGGGTGAAAAGGCGGAGACGGGGGAGGAAAAGGGGGTGTTCCGCCAGGCAAAGGCAGCGCAGCAAGCTCACCGGCGAGAGATAAGTGTGGATGAAGATGGTGCGCGAGTAGGGCCACCAGGGCCGCGCCAGGTACCCGTACTGCCCCGCGCTCTCCCCCACGACCTTCCCGCGCAGGAACACAAACGCGGAGGGGTCTTTGAGCGTGACGCGCCCCTGCGCCGCCACCGTGCTGGAGTATCCCGGAGGGCTGCGCCGCACTATGAACGTGCAGTCCTCGAACACGGCTGCTGCGACGCCGAAGACAAAGTCGATCGTGCCGCGGACGGTGCAGTTGCGGAAGTACTGCCGCCCCACGTCGGGCGCTAGCGTGTCCTGGGGAGGGGCGAGGCGGGGGTGGGGTGGAGGGGTGTGGTGAGCGGGGAAGAGGTTTGAGACGTCGTGATAGCCGCGCGCGGTGCAGTTGCGGAAGGACTGCCGCCCCACATCGGGTGCTAGTGTGTCGTGGGACAGGGGGAATGGAACGGGTGGGGAGAGAGGGGGAGGGGTGGTGAGTGGGGTTGGTACGGCGGGGAAGCAGGGTGAAAAGAAGAGGAGAAAAAGAAGAGGGAGTGAGAGAAGGATGATGAGACAACTGTGCACATAGCACCTAGACCCATTCCTACACCACCCAACCGCAGCGCGGTTCAGCGCGCGGCGCACCTGATGGCCCAGGAACACGCATTCGTAGAAGGCCGACTTATCCCCCTCCGTGCGCAGCGCGATGGCCTGCCCCGCCGCGGACCCCGCGTTGTTCACCACCGTGAGGCCCATGGCGGTGAACCCGTCCGCGTTCACTCCCACGCTCGCCGAGTCGAACGCCGTGTACCCCTTGCTCACGCTCGCGCCGTACGTGATCACCGTGTCCTTCGCGCCTTCGCCTAGAAAAATCACGCCGTTTTTGTTCAGCAGGACCTTTTCCGCGTACGTCCCTTTCATGATGTACACCACGAAGCGCGTCGGCGGTGGCTTGTACGCCGCGATGAGCTTCGTCGCAGCTTCCTGCACCGTCCTGCAATGCCCGGGTTTCCCGGTCTTGGACACGATAAAATCCGGCTTTAATTTTGGCAACTTCGCGCCCACGGCCGCGAGCCGCCTCCCGCGGTTCGCCTCCCAGAGAGCCGTTAGGTTTCCTGCCAAGAGCTCCTCCGCGCGCGCGTAGTGGACGCGCATGAAGCGCTGCAGCTCCCGCAGCTCCCCGTACTCCGACTCGCGCACCCACGTCGGCCGCGCCGCCGATTTTGCCGCAGCCGATGACGTCAGCCTGCGGGACCGGCGGCTTGAGAGCCAAGACGAGGAGGAAGAGGAGGAGGAGGAGGAGGGAAAGGGGGTAGGATAAGTGTGACGTATGGCACGATACAGCTCCCGCGCTTCTCGCGCCTCCTGTGCCTTCCGCGCTTGGCGCTGGGATAGTTTCCGCCGCCCGTCAACCTGCAGTCCCTTGCGCCGCGCGTGCATGGGGTTCCCTGGCCGCTCCGCTCCGTCCGCGTCCTCGTCTCTCAGCGACGTGACTATTGCGAGCGCGTTTGAGATGTAGCGAAGGGTGGGACCTGCTTTGAGCTTCGACGGGCTTTCCACCTCACCTCCACCCCCCCCGCCGCCGCCGCTGCCGCCGCCTCCGTTTCCGCCCTCTTCCGCGTCGCCCTCTCCGTCCCCAGCAAAATCCCGCTCGCCATCCCGCGCGCCTAGCGCTATAGCCGTCAGCGCCACCTCTTTACCGTGCGCCAGCGCCCCTTCCGCTGCGCCCCCCGCCGCCGGCTCTGTTCCGCCTTCCGCCATGCGCACGTGCCCGATAAGGGGCGTGTCCAGCTCCACCAGAGGCTGATTGCTGCCGCCGCCGCCGCTTTTGCCGCCGCGATGCCGCACTCTCGACACCAGGCCGTTCCACACGGCCGCGGCGCTATTCGCGCCCTTCTTTGCGCCCTTCTTTCCGCCGCTCTTTGCGCCATTCTTTCCGCCGCTCTTTGCGCCATTCTTTCCGCCGCTCTTTGCGCCCGTCGTTTTCTTCTCTCCGCCGCTGGCTGGGCCTATGTCGTTGTTCTTCCGCTTGCTGCCGCCGCTCCAGCCGTTGCTGCCAATGATTTGCGTGGTTGCCAAGCTGCCACTGGTCGTGTCGCCTGCCGGTCGTTCGCCCACTCGTCCGCCGTCCCGACTGCGCGCGTTCCGCATGACCTCCTCCCGCGTCTTGAAGCGCGCCACGTGCATTCCCCCCGTGCCATCCGAGGAACTTACGTCCGCTACCTCCGCGGAACTTGCGTGTTCTCCCGCCTCCCCCTCCCCCTGCGTGCGCGCCTCCGCCGCTCCGCCATCCCCGGAGTTTTCTGCGACGGCGGCGCTGGCGGCGGCCATGTTGGTGGAGCAGTGCGAGGTGAGCGTGAGCGCCGCGCCGATCCAATACGCCTGGCCCTCGGGTTCCGCGCCGTTCTTGAGAGACGCCGAGGCGCGACGGAGATACGCCGCGGCGCGGTCGAGCTGTCCGGGGAGGAGAGGGGAGGGAGGTGGGCAGCGAGGCGAGGGTGGGGGTTGTGCGTTGAGGACTCGAGTACCAGCCGAGCGAGTGATGAATGAGATTTCTTGGATGCTTAACAAGCGGATCGCTGTGCGATGGACCGGGGGATAGCAACACATTATGATGTGAACAGAGCCGAGCCGACATTGTATCAACAGCAACAATGTGCTTGCAGGAGCCATTTTGAGAATCCAGAAAAATGCGCGACAAACAGCGACGCGGCGTCGCAAGCCACGTTGTTTCGCCCGCGCGCACCACGCGTCCGCGCCGCACCTGTTCCAAGCAGTCTCTGGCGACGCGGCTCTCTCTCGCGCTGGGAGGGTCCTCGCCGCTGCTCCGCGACAGTTGCTCCGCGCGGTCCCGCAGCAAGCTCACTTCCCCGAGCGCCACGTCCACCGTCATCGACGTCAGCAGGTCCTGCGAATGCGACGATTGCGACGCTTGCGACGACGGTCGTCGGGCGCTCGACTGTTCCGCCAGATCGCGGCCGCGAGCTGCGGAAGATGCGCGGTGATGGCGGCAGATGGCGGAGAGGCAGAGCGCGGGGTCGTCGGCGCGCTGGCACAGGGCGGAGGCGCCGGGGAGGCAGTCATTGGCGGAAGAAAAGGCGGCGGCGACAAGAAGCGGGGAAGAGGCGAGTGGGGGCAAATTGATAGGCGAGAGTGAGAGTGAGGAAAGGAGAAGTACGATGAGGAAGAGGAGGGGGGAGGGGGGAAGGACGTGAAGCCTGTAACGGGCCATTGATGCGGCGAGACTGGAAGATACTAAGATCGTTTTCGGGACTCCTTAAATGTTAAGGTGGTTTCTCTCACGAGTGTGTCCCTTTGGGTGGTAATACTATCCACTGAGAAATGTTTGGAGCCGCCTCGAGATCGTAGATTACGGACGACGGGAATGCGTATGACAGGTGGCAAGGGCGGGGGAGGCAGCGAGACAGCGGGCGAGATGGAACGAGCCTACTTGGCTCGATTGGAGGGGCGCGAGGCGAGCGGTGAGAAACGTGAGTGGTACTGCGACGCTGCTAGATATTTGAGAGCACGGGATTCATGGAGCTGGAGCTATTACTAATCGCACAGTTCGTCGCCGCCCCGCACAGCGACGCTTCGTGCGACGGCGCCGCCACGGCCAGCCGAGGCGAGCACAACACCAAGTAGCGCTGACTAATCGCGCGCTAGGAGTTCCCTCTGCGTGTTTCTGCTACGGAGGAGCGAGCTAGGTACGCGGACTGTTAGCACGCGATGTTGTGGTCGATGTCAGAGTTAAGAGCTCAGCGTTCTTCCCGCATACTCTCATGCCTCATTGTCTTGCAACACCAAATCGCAAATCCGTCGTCAAACAAGACCCGAACCCTCGCGGATCGCTCACTTAAAGTCCTTGCTTGGTCTGCTATCAGAGCGACATGTTTCTGTGCGCGCATCTTGCACTTCTAACGGTTGGGAAACAGCAGGCGGGTAGAGTGGAGGGCTGTGAGAGGGAACGATGAGGGGCGGGAGTAGAGGGGCCGGCCCAACGGACCTAATGGCCAGCCAATGTGGGGGGTGGGTACTAAGGTGGATGCTAGTCGCCGTTTATCGTTCACTTGGAGTAACCAGCGCGTTTTCCGGAACATGTCGGTTGGCGTCAAGTAAAGTGGGGCATATGTTTACTGGTTTCCGTCCACTACTTTTCATTGCGCGCCTAGCGTGACGGCGCCAAGTCGTCTACGGCTATGATGGGCGTGCTCTTGGCGGCAGGCTGCTACCGTTGGACTTTCAGCAATGGTACATATAGCCAGAACGGATGAATGGCGGTGGTGGCGGTGGCGCAGTGTGCGTTGCATGAAACTAATGGGAGCACCAAGGCAGTATGATGAATTTGGTTTGGATGAGATGGGATCATGGGAAGGAATGGATGTGTGTTGGTCATTGTCAAGTCTTGGGGGTGATCGAGTGCGCCCTTACGAGATCCTCCTCACTGCTCCGCTTCGTTCGAAGGGGGTGGTGGGTGGTGGTAGGGTGTGGTGTGGTTTACGCATGGATTTCCTAAAAGTCCAAATGGGTAGGCCACCTTGGTGATGATGTGGTGGACTGTGCACTGGTTGGCTGTACAGTACAACAGACGAACATCTTAGCCGTCGATCTGCCACAGTGCCAGACCGCGTGCTAGCTATATTTCTGACGCGGTTCCAGCTTCCCGCCTTTCGCCCCATTGCTTTCCCATCAACAACGCGGTCCCATCATGAGTTTCGAGACCTTTTTCGTCAATGTCGCTCGCAGGTCATTCTTCTAGCTGTCTGAACGGTCGCAGAAGTCCATGCGAAAGGTTGATCTACATTATGTTACACCCTTAATATTTTGTTTGCACTCTGCTTACGATCAAGTAATAGGAGATATTTCTGTTTAAAATACAGAGCCTCACCATTCAGAATATATTATTATTTCAGGCTATTTACAGAAAAATTAGAAGAAAAGTTTCTAAAGGGTGATGGGAGGCTGGTGATGGGTGATGTTTGATAAGTCGTATTGCTTAGTAAGATTCACGAATGCTGATTAAGTTGGCTCTTAACGGAGGAGTCAAGAAGGGACTCTCTTCCCCAGTAACAACCAGCACCACCACCACCACCACTGGTCATTCCCTCCCACCACCACCACCAAACCAACTCGCCCTGCAACTCCCCCCCTCCGCTCTGAAGCACTTCCCGCAACCTCCTCCACCCATCCACCCTGTGCTCATCTGTTCACACCAGGAGGTGCATGTGACTCAGTAGTAAGCACTGCACGACGCCGCACCGCTCCGTGTAGCGAATCGCCGCGTCCTTAGCCTGATCTGTCTGCTCCCACCGTGCGGCCACGATATTTATGCTCCCGTCTCGTTTCTCTCTCCCTCTCTCTCTCGATGATGCAATCCATCACTGATTCGTTTCGTCTTGTTCCCGCTACAAGCCCTTTCATTTATGGCTGCGTTAATTCTCTGATCGGCGTCGGCACCTTTCGTGCGGGTGTTTGACGCGCCGCCGTAGCAGTCCGTCGGGAACACGCCATGCGCGCTCCTGTTTAAAGCTCTAAGCTCTCCAGCGCATGCCCCGCTCCGCCTCTCGCCTCTCCTTCCGCCCATTCCCAGCGGGTATTCTCATTCTCCGCTCCGCTCAATGCGCGGTAAGTTCTCCACGCAGGCGCGGGTTTGGCACGCAGCGACTGAGGCGCAGGAGGAGACGGGGCAGCAGGCGGGAGGGGGGGTGAGCGAGGTGCGCGGGCGCCCACCCCCCTCTGTCGGTGCAGCTTCCCCCGTACGGGGGCCCGTGCGGAGGGCGGAGGTGCCGATTGCGGGGAGCCTGGTGCTGGGGGGAACTGCGCATGGGCACGGGCTGGTCGGGGGAGGCTGGGGGGGAGCATGGGGGGTCGGCGGAACGTGGGGAGGGGGAATCGGCGGAGGCGGAAGCGGCGCGGGAAGCCTAATATCGTGGGTTTCCGCGGGGGTGGCTTGGGCGCAGCGGCATGTGCTTTTCCTTGCAGCCTTAATCCTGTTTCTGTACTCGTTAATAGCTGTCTTTCACGCGTCTAACAGCCCCGCGGATTCGCGGTTAGGGGGAGATGGGTCCGCGGTAAGACTTGCCGCTCTCCGCTCCCACTGTGGTCCATCTGCCGCGCTTGGCGCACAGAACAGCGGTGCTTCATCCTCGTTACAAGGCGGTGGCGCATTCGGGCTGGGTCAACGGCAGGGAATTCCCTCGCGCGTTATCGTGCCGCCTCCCCACCCGCTGTCCCGCTCCGTCGCGCGCGTGCTTCTCAAAGCCACCGCCGTGCTCTCCCTCTCCCAGAGCGTGCCGCGCGCCATGCGGGTGGCAGGGCCAGGAGCGAGAGCAGGAGCAGGAGGAAGAGAAGGAGTGGGAGGAGGAGAAGAAAGCAACGGGGGAAGCAGACGAGGAGGCCGGGGAGGCGGAGCAGGCGGAGGCGGAAGGGGGTGGATGGGGGGAGGAGAGGGGGACTGGTTAGACGATACAGAGTCAGGTACAGACGAAACGCAATCCCAATCGGAGCTCCGCTCAGACGAATCTCAAGCGGACGCCCAATCGCCGCCCGCGCGCCTCTCTCTCACCATCTTCTGCGCGCCCAAGCCGTACCTCTCCGCCTCCCCCGCCTCCGACCCGCAACGGCGCGCGCTGCTCTCGTGGCTGCGCCTCTCGCTGCGCCCCACCGTGGTGCTGCTAGGGAACGACTCGTCGTTTCACGCCCTCGCTAAGGAGTTCCCCGGGAGAGTGGTTGTAGACGCGCGCGTGGACACGAATTTCTATGGGGTTCCGCTGGTGCATTCCATGCTTGCCCGCGCGCGCGCCGCGCCCACCATGGTGTCTCTGCTCATTAACGGGGATATACTGTTGCTGGAGGACATTGTGCCGGCGCTTAGCAAAGTGCAGAGGACGTTTAAGAGCTGGGTGCTGACTGCTGCTCGGTGGGACGTGAGCGCGGACTTCCCCTTTGCGCTAGAATCACGGGAAGGGGGCGGAGGGGAGGGGGAGGGAGCAGGTGGAGGAGGAGGAGGAGCAGCAGGAGGGGAGGAGGGGGAAGAGGGGGGTGGTGGCGAAGGGGAAGGTATAAGGCAAGCGGCGGAAGGGGAGTGGCTGGTGATAGGGGAAGGGAATGGGGCTAGCACTGACAGCAGCAGCAGCAGCAGCAGCAGCAGCAGAAGCAGCAGCGGTGGTAAGAGACGGAGTTACTTGGTGGGGAGCAGTGTGGTGGAGGCAGAGGTGAGGCGGTATGTGCGGCGACAGGGCAGCTTGCACACGTATGGAGGGGTGGATTTCTGGGCGTGGAACAACTACGTGCATGGTGCTCGTGCCAGCAGCAGCAGCAGCAGCAGCAGCAGGAGCAGAAGAGACACGAGTGAAGGGGGCAGTGACGGCGACAGCGAAGGTGGAAGCGGGGACAGGGAGGGCGGTGAGGGTGGTGCGAGCGGTGAGAGCGGTGAGGGTGGAGAGGGTGGAGAGGAGGAGGGGAGTGAGGGGAAGGACAACACGCCGCTGTTTGCAGGGGAGATGCCGCCGTTTGCGTTCGGGCGTGGCAAGTACGACAACTGGCTGACCCACGAGATCGTAGCAGCGGGGCTCAGGCAGATGGTGGACGCCAGCGATGCAGTCACGTCCGTCCACGTGGCGCATTCCTATTCGCACGTGGTGTCGGGCGGCGTGGCGGCGGGCAAGGCGGGGCTGAGCTTCTGGAGCACGCGCAAGCAGTCGAGCTGGGAGCTGTATGCGAATATCCACATGTCGCAGACGCACGGGTCGTACCGCAATCAGAAGGGCACTGCGCTGCATATTCCCTGGCGCCTGCTCTCCTGCTTCGATGCTGCTGGTATGGATTCGAGAGGGGGTGTGGTCGGGTGGGTGGATGGGGAGGAGAAGGGATGTTGGGAGCATGGAGTGGGGAGCAAATGGGAGGAGAGGGGTGTAATGGTGGAAACTTCAGTGTTGGAGAGAGATAGGGACGAGATATGGTGGGGGTTGGACCGAAATCTATGCAATAAGTAGCTTCCATGCGCCATGCGCCATGCGCCATGCGCCATGCGCCATGCGCCATGCGCCATGCGCCATGCGCCATGCGCCATGCGCCATGCGCCATGCGCCATGCGCCATGCGCCATGCGCCATGCGCCATGCATCATGTTCCCATTCCCCTCCTTGCAGCCTCACCCTACTCCCGCTCTCCTCCCTTCCCCTCATCCCTCCCCACCACCCCCCACCATTCCTCTCCCTCCCCACCACCCCCCACCATTCCTCTCCCTCTCCACCACCCCCTGCTCCCCTCCCCCCTTCCCCCCTCTTCCCCCCTTCCCCCACTCCCCAGCGTCCAACATGTGTCTACAGCGGCGGGAGCGGCCAGCCAACTGCACGTGCGAGTACTCATCCTTGGTGCCGGCGTCCCAGTCGGACCCGCAGTGGGAGAAGGGCAGCACGGTGTGCGGCACGCTCTCCATCGACCACGACAAGGACTTCACCATCACCCCGCTGCCCACTCCGCACCCCCCCCCCCCCCCCCCAGGCGTCTTTTTTTCAGTCGACTCAAAAACCCACCATTCCTCTCTCTCCTCCCAAACCCCTGCTCCCCTCCCACCTCTCCCCCCTCCGCCCCCTTCCCCAGCATCCAACATGTGTCTACAGCGGCGGGAGCGGCCAGCCAACTGCACGTGCGAGTACTCATCCTTGGTGCCGGCGTCGCAGTCAGACCCGCGGTGGGAGAAGGGCAGCACGGTGTGCGGCACGCTCTCCATCGACCACGACAAGGACTTCACCATCACCCCGCTGCCCACTCCGCGCTCGCCCCCGGGCCTCCCGCACACGCTCGAGCAGCTGCTGCCGCAGCTCGCAAGGAACGTCAGCGCCACCGCCGCTGCTGCTGCTGCTGCTGCTGGTGGCGGCAGTAGTGGCAGCGCTGGTGTCACGGGTGTCAATGAGAACAGTGGCGGCAGTAGGGGTGGAGGAGGAGCGGAGGACGAGCAGCAGGAGGAGCAGCAGTTGCGAGTTGTCACGCTCGTAGCAGTCACCTTCACCTATGCCGACATGCTCATGAGTTTCGTCTGTCGCCTGCGCGCCCTGGGCCTGGCCGACAACCTCCTAGTAGCAGCACTCGACGCGGAGATGTACCGCTTTGCCTTCCTGCAGGGCCTCGCAGTGTACCTCGAGCCAGGCGCCTCTGCTTCCCTCGGCTCACACGCGTCTCTCGGCACAGACGCTGCTTCCCCCTTCCGCGACTGCCCCTTCGGCAGCCCGTGTTTCCAAGCGTTCACCAAGCTTAAGTCCCGCGCGGTGCTGCGGGTGCTCAGAGCCGGTTACTCTGTGTTGCTATCTGATGTGGACGTGGTGTGGTTTAAAGACCCGCTGCCGTACCTGCTGGCGTTTGGTCCGGGCACGCTGCCGATCCAGAGCAACGAGCCGAACGCGAGCCTGCCGGGGACGGGCATTCGGAGGATCAACTCGGGGTTTTACTTTGCGCGCGCGGAGCGGATGGTTGTGGAGGCGTTTGAGGCGATTGTAAGGCACGCGGGCAAGACGAAGCTGTCGGAGCAACCGAGCTTTTATGACGTGCTGTGCGGGGCGCAGGGGGAGCTGGTGGTGCGTGAACTGAAGCAAAAGCAGCCGCAGCAGCAGCAGTGGGGGGGAGGGAGCCAGGCATCGCAATGGTGGCTTGGCAGTAGCGGGAGCAAGGAGCAAGCGGGGGGTTTGGGAGGAGTGAAGGCGGGGGAAGAGGAGGAGTCGTGCATCTGGAAGAATGGCCTGCGCACGATTCTCCTGAACCGGTCTCTGTTCCCCAATGGGGCGGTGCATAAGTTGTGGGAGCGGAAGAGTGTGGGGAGGGCGTGTCGGGCCAAGGGGTGTGTGGTGCTGCATAATAACTGGATCACGGGGCATGCGGAGAAGAGGGAGAGAATGAAGCGGCATGGGTTCTGGCACTATGATGTGGCTCGCAGGATGTGTGTGTGGGGGTGGCATGAGGAGTATGGAGGGGAGAGGGAGGATGCTGATGCTGATGTGCGTGCTGCTGGCCGTGCAGATTCAAGGTGACGACGCGTGTAGTCCCTAAGCAAAATGCGTTCTATTTTGAGGCAGGTCACAGGAATGTTTGGTTGCATTGCATGCACACACAAGCACTCGGGTCTCGTCTCCTCTTTCTGCATTGTACCATTTTATCCAAAGGATTGTTTTGCTTCAATAGTGCAATCTTCGTTCGGTCACTCAATTGCACTCATACCACAAAGTAGGCATGCCTTACTATGAAGCTCAAGGCTCGCATTTACCGCTTGCGAACCAGTAAATAGGCTTTGCATCAGGCCTCACATTTACCCTTGGCTATTTTCACCTTGCTTGGAATGCACACTTTGGTACCCTTGATCAGTTTGTCTATGCAGTCGTAACCATTTATGTGCCTGTAGCAACCTTTCACGCCTCGGAAATACTTGACTTGGATTGCTGTGCAGCGATCACCGGTACCAATTGTAATTGCAGTGGCACGTGGACAGGTCCCCTGGACAAGACTGTCCGTGCTCCCAACACAAGCCTGCGAATGACATGTAGCGCACCGAGTGAACAACGAGCCACGTACCGAGTCAACTCTGAAATCACCCCAGACTCACCTCAAAGCGAGTGAAGCATAAACCACAAGGTGATCACCAAGTCGACTCAAGAGTCATATATGACTCAGATGTATCACCCCAGGCTCACCTCGAAGCCGGTGAAGCTGCCAACGTCCGTCTTGGGCACGAGGCGGCTGCACTTGATGCCGGGGTTGAGACGGTAGAAGTCGACGCGGGAGAGAGGCGGGTCGGGCACGTTGCGGATGGACTCGCACGTCTCGGCGCTCTCCACGAAGTAATACTGCGAGCACAGCGCCACCACCCCCGCCATCTCCGCCCGCCGCTCCACACACACCGCCTGGTTCGCCGGCAGCTGCCCGCTGTTGGCGCTGCAGTCCACCCCCGGGTTGAGCGCCTGCAAGGCTGCCGTGCACTCGGGGGACGGACAGGTGCTGGCCAGAGCGAAGTAGGTCGCCAGGGCCTCACAGGTGTCGCCCTGGGACGAGAGGCAGGAGGGCAGGGGGCAGGGAGTGGGCAGGGAGGGAGCAGGGGAGAGGGCAGGGAGGGGACAGGGAGGGGACAGCAAGAGGCAGGCAGGGGGCAGATGGGGGCCAGCCAGGGGGCAGGGGGTGGGCAGGGGGAGAGTGACGCACAAAGAGCAGATAGGACTTTGCTGACGTGCTCGGTGTGTCGAGTAGATGGTGCAGGGGGCGATGGTAGTGACAACTTGCACTGGACTCAGTAGTTGCACCAGACTCTTGAGCAGCTTCGTTTCGCCCTTTTTGTGAGGTGCATAAAGCACCATCCACCACCCACCTCCCATCTAGAAACTCCCACAGGCCACCTTTTACCCACTGCCTACCCCGTACCACCCATCTACTAACTACCCGCCACCTGCCACGTACCGGTTCAGTGGTGTAGTAGACAGAGCAGGGGGTGATGGTGGTGGGTGGGGCGACTTGGAGCACCGAGTTGATTGGTAGAGCAGAGTCACATGAGATGGCCTGGTGGCAGGGCGGCACACATTTACCGGGATGGAGGGGTGGGAGTGAGGTGATGGGGTGAGAGTGGGGCGATTGGGGGAAACAAGATGAGAGGGAGGAAACAGGGTGTGGAACGAAAGAAGCAGCAGCCCAGCACGCCTGGACTGCAGTCGTGAGCACAATTCAAGCAGAGCACACACGCGCACCAGGTTCTGCCACATAGTTGCTCCCGAGGGAGACTGTGAAATCGAAAAGTTTGAAAAGAGGGGATTTTGTGCAGAACACACACAAGCGCACCGGGTTTTGCTGCATCAATTGCTGCTGGGAGAGGCCGTAGATGGGAAAGACGTCTGAGCACTTGACATTGGGTGAGACAACGGTGTAGGTGCCGTTGGTGCTGCCGGGCGCACAGGAGAAGGTGCCATCGACGGTGGTGCCCTGCCTGAAGCCCGGTGGACACACACACGAGTACGACCCCGCCCCGTCGTTCACACACGTGCCCACCGCACACGGGTTGCGGATTTGCGCTGCACAGGCGTCCACTGCAGGAGGGCGGTGGGAGGGAGGAGGGAGAGCACGGGGGAGTGTGCATGAGGGATAGGGGGATGAAGAGGGGCAGGAGAGAGGAGGGAAGCGAAGGTGGGGGTGTGTAGTTTGTGTGCGAGAGGCATGAATGCATTCATCAGCAAAGAGGGACAGCATAAGTGTGCAGTTTTACGCGAAAGTGAGTGGGACAGGCACAGACGGGATGCAGGAGGCCTCACACCATTGCCACACGTGCGTGAGCCGCTCTTGAAAGATCTCACAGTGTGAAATACAGGAGGCATGCGTACCATAGGCACAGGTGCAGAGCAGAGCAGGAGGCATCATACCATAGGCACAGGTGCGCGAGCCATCGGTGTTGATGGCCTCAATGAATCGACCGTCAGATGCGGTGTTGCAGTCGCAGCGGTTGGACCTGCGGTCAGCTGTGACCGTGCACGTGAAGTTGCCACACGGGTTCAACACCGCACCGATTGGATCCCGGTGCGCCCCGCTGTTGCACGGGTCCTGCTTGTCTGGGTGGGGTGGAGTGAGATGGGACAAGGCGGGGTGGAGTTCTGTCTCTAATGTGGTGACCTGACCTCGGTAAGCACCACAGACATCGTTCTCTTTTTCGCCATTGTTCTGTTAAAGCTGCGGTCTACATACCGAAGGGTATTTTCTGGGGGTATTTCGGGTGCACACCCAAAGACGCAGTCTGATTTGCACACGAAATGATCCCTTTCCAGAAATGAGAGCGCGAAGGATTCAAACACAACTGGCGAATCCCGCCAGTTTCGTGCAAGGTTTGGTTGGGGGGGTACTTTTTTCGTGAGGTTGGAATTGTGGTGGCGATTTCGCCACAACCTGCAACCAATCGAGGTTGGGGGTAGATTGGTGCGAAATATGTAAGCCAATCATGAGCAGGCCAACTTTCAAAGGGGGGGTTGGGTTGTCAGAAAGCAGTAACTGCACCTCGCCACCCAAGGATGGAGCGAAGCCCTGTGCTACCTGGTTTTCAAGTGATAAACCAGGTCCTCCCGCAGGAGGTATGTAGGCGACAGCTTTAAGTACAGAACAACCATTTGTTGGGGGACCACGATGCAAAGGATATTTTCTTACTTGCATCCTTTGCATCCTTTGCACCATGCTCGCATCACATGCATGGCAGGCAGCAAGCTCAGAGACGGAATATCACCTCACTTACGTGGCCTTATGGCAGCGGCATCACCATCACCATCACCATCACCATCACCATCACCATCACCATCCCCATCCCCATCCCCATCCCCATCCCCATCCCCATCCCCATCCCCATCCCCTCATCATCATCATCATCATCATCATCATCATCATCATCATCATCATCATCATCATCATCATCATCATCATCATCATCATCATCATCATCATCATCATCATCATCATCATCATCATCATCATCATCATCATCATCATCATCATCATCATCATCATCACCATACCAATGACAATCGGGTAGATCCCCGGCAGCGTGTTGATGCCGCACACGCCATCCCCCCCCTGGATGTCCATGCGCATGTGGCCCCCATCGCCCCAGTCAGGCCCCCATGAGTTGCGGATGATCCAGAAGGGCGGCGCCATGTGGGGGAAGGCTTCATCTGCCCCCACCAGGCGGTACCCCACCAGCAGCACCACGTGGTTCAGGTTGTACGTGAAGCACGCTGGGTCCTGGTACTTGGACAGCTGCACAGTGTAATGGGTATGCATGTTGTGAGTGTGGTATGGAGAAGCGCTTGTCTCACAGAGCAGTAGAAAAGAAATGCCTGCGCAATCACTGCAGGCGCGTGTGGGCGGGCAAGGTGGCCACTCACTCACGTGATCAAGCAGACATGTGAAGCGGGGTATATGTATGGTGAAAGAAGTAGACATGCGATTGATTCTTGTGCGTGTGTGTATGCACCGGCCTGTTAGAACAGGTGCCCACCCCATCACAATGGACAGCAGCACCAGAGGCTGCATTAGAACACGTGAACCTCCACCCACCCACCTGCCTTCCCTCCCACCCACCAACCCATGGGCTTTCAGTGTTTCGACTCCTTTTTCTCTGCAAGAGGCTGCATCAACGTGCACCTCCACCCACCCACCTGCAAGAGGCTCCATCAAGAGAGAAAGGGTACGCAGCGACTTATAGAACCTCAGGCTACTTACCTTCCCTGTGTGCTTTGCTTGTTGTCGTGCTGTACCCGAGATACAAAGTAATCCACGAGACCGATTGAGAGAGAGGAGCGCAGCGACTGGCCTCTTTGTAGTTGAAGAATGAGTCAGCAGCAGACGCCTCTACGTGCTCCAGCACTGGCTGCCGCTGCACTGGAGTTACTTCCGAGAATTTTCGACAAAGAGAGAGAGTGAGGGACACGCGGTGACTCACCACTGGCTGCCGCTGTGAGATTTATGGAAGGATGGAGAGGCTGGGCAACTGACCCCATCGTAGTTGAGGAAGGAGTCAGCAGACGCCTCTATGTGCACCACCACGGGCTGCCGCTGCACGGCCAGCACCAGGCCGAACCAGCTGTAGAATGCCGCCCGCTCAAAGCCCGTTATGCTGTAGCCCGGGCGCACCTGCTTGCATGCGTCATGCCAGCCCAGGTTAGACGCAACATGAGAATGAAGAAGAAAGAATGCCAGAGGTGAGAGTGATGCGCCCATCATCATCAGCATTCGAAGGAGGAGGTGATGGACTGGACGCAAACAATGAGGATAACGAGGAGTACAATGAGTAGTAGTACAGCAATCGCACTGACAACAGATACTACACAGTTCACAGAGAGGGTTGACATCCGGGTGAACGGCTAACTCACTCAGCCTTTTCAACGTCTGCTTCTGTCCCCAGAGGGAAGGAGGGACACACTTCGTTTCATACAATGAAGTTTGTCCAGTCTCCCTCACCATCACACTCCACCACTTCACTCATAACCATCCCGGCCCCGGCTTTCTCCTTTATAGTGCACTTCACTCCCAAAATCTATCTCTCAGGAGCCTCAAGTCGAAACACTCCACTCCACTCCACTCCACTCCACTCACCGTGCCAGCCTCGGCTTTCTCCTTGGCTGTGCACTTCACTCCCAGAAGCGCCGCTATCGGCTTCAGCAGCGGCGAGCACAGCAGACTCTGACTCTGACCTGCTGCTGCCCCCGCTGGTGACCCCTGTTTCCCCTGCCTCCCCACCGTACTGCTTCCCTCTGCCACACCCACACCCATCGCACCCGTCCCTCCAGGCCTCGCCACAACCCCCCCTGCTCGCACCCGTTCCGCCTGCAGCCCCCCGCCGCGCTTGGCAACAGCAAGCAGGTACTGGAATGCCTTGGAGGGCGATCCTCCGGAGCAGTCAGCCTTCATGTCGGCAACGAGCGAGGCGACGGAGAAGACAGGCAGTGAGCCGTTGGCTGCGAGGATAGCATAGGCTGCTTCTATGCTGGCCACCACAGCTTGCGCCCAGCAGTTGCCGCACCCCGCTTGGTTGCGCACCGGCCAGCTGGGCAGAAGATCTGGGCGAACCCATGTCATGTTCGTCGCCACCGCCCACTGCTGCTCCTCCTCTGCACCTGCCCCTGCGCCTGCTGCTGCAGGTACTGCTGGTGCGGGTGGTAACCGCGCGCCGGAACTGGCGTAGCGGAAGTAGCGGTTGACTCCCGAGGTGGTGAACGTGGCCTCTGCTAGTGTGAAGCCCAGCGGCAGGGCTGTGGTGGCGGAAGCAGGGCGGGCGAAACGTGATCAAGGGAGTGGCAGAGATGGGAGAGGGATGGAAGAGGCGGAGAAACAAGTGCGGCAGTGGGCAGGAGACGAGAGCAATAGAGAGGTGAAGTGAAGTGGGGAAGGTGATGGGGTGTTGGAGTGGATTGGAGGCAGCCAGGCATAACAGCACCAGCAGCAACAGTCTCATGGTGGTTAGAATAGAATCTAAAAGTGACATGCTCTGACGCAGCACACATATATAACAGGTAGGTGCTCGCACCATGCGCTGCGCATACTTCCAAACTGCATCATGCCATGCCCTACCTGCTGAAACGCCCTGGGTTGGAAAATCTGCAAGAGAAAGAGAATGGGGAGAGAGGGAAAAGACAAGACTGGCTGAGATTAAGCGCAGTCCATTCAAGCGGCACCGAGAAAGGAAAAGCTTGCGCAGTATTTGCAACCGGGGAGGGGGAGAGCAGCAACGCAGGAGCACAGATCTGGCAACAAGAAAAACAGTTGCCTGTTGGGCAGCAAAGCCAGCGCATGCTCCTGGCAGGGATAACAACAACCCAGAGACTACCAAGTACGCAAGTACCTGTATCCAGCGACCACTGCAGCACCGTGTGTTTCTGAGGGGGGTCAGACGAGGCGGCAGTGAAGCCAACCACAAACGTGGCCTCCTCAAACGTCGGCCTCAGCACATCACACAGCGACACGCGGCGTGTGAGAGCGGGCTTGGCCGGGCGAGTGGCCGCACTGCCCACATACACCGCCAGCAGCCCGCCCTTCCCTGGAGAGTATTCAATCCATGCGTGTTTGGTGCTGCCTGTGTTGAGCCCTGGCACAGTAGCCGTGGAAATAGAGACCACGGAGCCACCCACGTTGATGCCCACGTGGCTGTTGCCTGGGTCTCCACTGCTCGCATCTTTAAACGTGTCAAACTCCACTGCAAGACTGCGCTCGTCCATGCCGGAGTAACCTAACGTGCTGCCGTCCCCACCAGGGACGGCATCCGTTGCCACGATCACAAACGCGAGGCCGCCCTTCCCGACGCCGTTGCTGTCGGTGGCTGGGGCGATGGAGAAGGAGAAGGAGAGCTTGAGGGCGATCTCGCGGCCGCACGAGTGGTTCTTGACGGCGTAGGAGAAGAGGCGCACGCGCGACACCAGGAACGCCGCTCCCCACGCCGCCTGCTCGTTGCTCGTCAGCACCACGCTGTTATCCGGCTGCGTCGCTGCTGCTCCCTTCACCGCCATCGCCGCGCCGCCACCATCGTTGCAAGAAACACTCAGAGGGGTCAGAAAGGACAGGTCTTCTACAGGCGCCCCACCAGCAGCAACAATTGCCACGCACGTCCCTGAGAGCTCCCCATTGGCATACCCGGTGTTGCAGGCGCAGGTGGGGATCCTGCTGGGCCCGGAATAGAAGCAGACACCATGCCCAGCGCAAGCAGGCGAGGACGGGGAGAGGCCGCAGAAGGAAGCACAGACCTCGAGCACGCGCTGGGGGTCCATGGGGCAGGGCGGGACATCGGTGGCGCCGAGGCAGTTGGCTTGCACGGCTATGATGGTCTGGGTGCAGTCGGGTGGAGAGGAGAAGCCGCAGGAGAAGAAGTTGCTGTCTAGCTGGTACTGCTTGATGGATGGTGGGATGGGCTGCAGCAGACAGCCGCCCAGCTGGTTGTTGCGCAGTTTTCTGCCGCGGGATCAGGAGGGGAGTGAGTAGGATGAAATAGGGTGAAGGAAGGGAAAAAGGGTGAAGGAGGGAACGAGGGATGACAAAACGAAAGGAAGATATTGTAAGAAAACGGCAAGAAACCGGCCAGTTGATGAGTGTTCGAAGGCCATGGGGCGTATAGTTGGATGGATGGATTGTCAATCATAGACCGAGCTTGACTTCACGTTCAGCTCTTTGGGAGTTGTGGGCTTACGACTTGTAAGGTCTTGCACACTATTTAGGTGTTTTAAGGGGTCAATCAGGTACTTCAAGATCCAAAATGGTCAAGCACGAACAACAGTTTTACCTCACCGTACTGCACTGCACTGCACTGCACTGCGCAAACTGTACACTGAGCGTAGTACACTCTCTACCACGCCCTTAGATAAAACAACATAACCACATTACTTGTTTAACAATGGGGGGTGACAAGCAACCACTGACATTCACATACCGGACAGACATTCATTGATTTGTAAGTTCTTGGTGTTGGTACAAACCAGTAACACTCACATAAGTGTGAACTGGTGGTGCTAGGAACCACCGTCGCTTACAATAATGGGAGAGCTAGTGTGTTAGACACTCACCAATGCCTTGACACTCACAGGACTGTGAGTTGAGTGAGGCCGGTCAAGGCCTGTGGCACACTCCCGCTCAGGCGGTTGTTACTCATGTCACTGACACGGGCGCACAGGGTAAGACACGGAAGCACAAGGAGCAAGAGGCACGAATAAGTGTTCAAGCAACATTAACACTAGACAAGTTTTACTTGACATGCTGAGCAACCGAGTTGTAGGACGAGGAAGAGGAGGAGGAGGGAAGAGGAAGGAGAGATGGTGAGGCAGCAACAAACGTTGGTAGGCGCAAACAGATGAGGCTGAGGAAAGAGGGATGTGCAATTCGTTGCACCGTTCTTGGGAGAGAAGAGGCGAACAGTTCTTACAGCACACTGAGTTGTGTGAGCTCAGATATCCCCTCGGGGATTGTTCCATCAAGGGAGTTGAAGCTAAGGTCACTGCCTTGGGGAGAAAGGATGGCATTTTTTACAGCAGAAACATAAGTCGAGGAGTTCCGTTGGTAAGGTGTGCATGCGTGCAAGTTGGTGGAAGAAGCAGATTATGTACAAGCCAGAGAGATGAGCACAACGTTTTTTGAACCGAAGAGGCACACATTACATCACTTACACCACTGAGTTGAGGCCAATCATACGTGAGTGAAGGTGCTGGTTGACTGCAAAGCATTGACACTTGCAGTTGCAGGGCTCGAAGCTCAGTTTTTGGGGCGCTTAAAACGGTTACTACTACTGCTACGAAAGCACCTACACTCACAGGACTCTAAGTTGTTTGAGATTGGACAAGCCCTGTGGCACACTCCCAGTGAGGCCATTGTTGCTCAAGTCACTGGAACAGACGCAAAAGGCCAGAAACACATAAACGCAGGAAACAGGGTGCTTGTAACATATGGTGAAGAGGAGAGTACAACATCTGTGATTTGGTTGGCTGATTCGGCTGGGCAGCTAAGGCACAGACAGGTTGAGCAAGAGGAGGAGAAACGGGGGCTTACAGCACGCTGAGTTGCGTCAGCTCGGAGATCGTATCGGGGATGGTTCCATCCAGGAAGTTGGAGCTAAGGTCACTGCTTTGGGAAGTACATACGATACGGGATGCATGTGCTGATTGGTAGACAAGCTTGGGGATGAGTGATGTACACAGGTCACAAGCCGAGTAGCACACAAGGCCGGCATCTCTTTCAATGCACCGTCACTTAGCATAAATGCGAGTGGTAACGTGTTGCTAAACTGCATAGTCGCTCACAGGACTGAGAGTTGAGTGAGGCCCGCCAAGCTCTGTGGCAGACTCCCACTCAGGCCATTGTTGCTCAGGTCACTGACACGGGGGCACAGGGTAAGTAGCAGAAGCACAAGGAGCAAAGGGCAAAGAAGGGATGATTAGCTGGGCAGCCGGTTCGTAGGGTGAGGAGGAGGAAAGAGAGATGGTGAGGCAGCAACTAACGTTGATGGACGCAGAGAGATGAGGCTTAAGAGAGATTGATAAGTACTGTGTCACACAGCTTGTTGGGACAAAAGTGGTGCACGGTACTCACAGCACACTGAGTTGCGTGAGCTAGGGAGAATGGTTCGAAGTTTTGCCAACATTATTGATTGATCCCCACCAATAACTTGGGTTGAGAAATGATTGGGACGTCCCAATAATCTCGGTCAAATGTGAGTCGCCATGAATGATGAGCCTCCATTGATTTCCCAACCCAACCTTGGGGCCCAGTAATTCTTTAACAAAATATTGACGGATAAGCGACTCAGTTCTTGGATGTTAAGTTGCCTTGGTTGGATTTCTAAACCTAACTAGGGTAAACCTTAGTCGTACACCCAAACTAGGTTCAGGTGCCAAACTCTACCCACGCGATGTAGGATATGTGCAGGTTACAAGAGGAATACGATTCTGAGACATACAGCACTTGGAGATTCGTGAGCTTATATATCTTCTCGGGTATTGTTCCATCATAGTAGTTGGAGCTCAGGTCACTGCTTTGGGATGGGAAGTACAGATGGCATGTGCTGATTGGTAGAGGCCTCAGGTGAGGAGGAGTTGCAACAAATCAACGCGCATAATGGACTCAACACAAGTTAGAGGAAGCAATCAGACGAGGCACAGGTCTTGAGACACAGGAGGCACGCACACAGTACTTACAGCAGATTGAGTTGCTTCAGCTCCAAGACTTCCTTGGGGAATGTTCCAGTGAGGTAGTTGGCGCTCAGGTTCCTGCCATGGGTGGTGGTACAGTACGGAAGCCAAGTAAGTAGATACGGAAGGAAGTGGGGTAAGGGGTTGTATAAGGGTGCATGCTTGCATGCACGTTGGGTGGAAGCAATCAGACGAGGCTCAAGGCGCAGCAATGCACGGCACGTGGATGGTCGAATGGCACTGTGCTCACAGCACACAGAGTCGCATGAGCTGTGATATCTCTTTGGGTATTGTTCCATCAAGGTAGTTGGAGCTTAGGTCACTGCCTTGGGGGGGGGGGGAGTAGAAAGACAGACGGCATGCATTGATTGGTGGAGAGGTTTGGCAAGAAGCTGCGTTAGGGTGGATGCGGAGGTCGGTGCAAAGAGATGGAGGAGGGAGGAGCATGTTTCAGTTCAGTCTGATGGTGGGTCAAACACATGTTGTTGTACAGAAGAGGGCTTTTGCAGCACGGTTCTACAAACACTTGCACACGCAATGGTTTCATGCGTAGATAGAGAATATGTGCTACAAATCGGTTGGTCCTAATGGGTCCTAATTCGTACGAAACAGTGGCAGCAAGCAAGCGCACATGTATGTGAGGAATGGGAGGACGTTGCTGCTGCTGGTTTGGGGATGTTGCGAACTGCTCAACCCAACTGATCTGAGGTCAGAAGAGGGAAGGAGAAGCAAAGGGTGATGAATGATGGTGATAAGGGTGCTGAGAAGCGTCAAGAATGAATCAAAAATAGTGTTCCACAATTTCAGCAATCAAAAGAGGAAAACGGGGAGGAGAAAAGAAAGGTGAGAAGCAAAGAGGAAGGGGACGTGCATGGGACCTGAATGGGAGTCTGATGTGTGTTGACATGGTGTGTGCGGTGGTGACATGAAGGTGTATTGGCATGCATGGGATGGCATGGGAGGGGACCTGACAATGTGTTCTGCCACGATGCATGTTCGCATGACGGTTGTGTCGGTAAGACAGGGGTGTGTTGGCCTGGTGGGTGTGTTAACCTGATGGGGATGTTGGCATGATGGGGGAGGGAGCTTACGGTCCCTGGTTGACATAGAAGAAGTTGGGAGGAATACTGCCTCTGAATAGGTTGCCACTCAACGAACTGGCCTCAGCGATCATTCGCCCCTCACTCACCACGGCACGTGCACGCCGCATGTGCACTCACACACACACACACACACGCACGCACGCACGCACGCACGCACGCACGCGCACACACACACACACAAACACACACACATACACGCACACACGCACACATGAACACAGGGAGCAAAACAATGTGAGCGAACACAGGACGACAAAAACAATCAGGTAAAAGCTCCAGTCAGAACCTACACACAAATAAACTCACTCAGAGCCTCAGAAAGAACACTAGGCCAAACACGCAGAGAAGATAGGCTAGGCTTTTGTGACTAGACACCGATTGTGGTGTACAATTGAGTTGGGCACATTATGTTGGGTGTTCATTTGTGTTTGCGGGGTGCCAAGACAAGCCAACCTATCATGGTGGAGCCACCAAACCAAACACAAGGTAGGTAGGTAGGGAGGTAGGTAGATTGTGATTGGTGCCTGCAACAGCAAGAACTTTTGAGCGTGGTTGGTCCCTTCAACCACATTTAGGGACAAAAGATTGTTCGACCTCTCAACTACCACTTCGTCCCCAACCCAACCACGTCCTTCCCTTCCATCCTCTTCTTCCATCCTACGTGCTGCCCCGTGCTTTTCCCAATCAAAGCAACCTTTTGCCTCTCAAGAGACAGTACATGGCGGACTGACATGCTGCCAATCGAAGGCCCGAACACAGTAGGTAAAGGTCCCTCCACCCTGTTGCCATCCAGGTTCCTGCACAGTGTACACAGCGCACACAGTGCACACAGTGTACACAGCGCACACAGTGTACACAGCGCACACAGTGTACACAGCGCACACAGTGTACACAGCGCACACAGCGCACACAGTGCACAGGAACAGCGACAGAAAGAGAGAGGAGATGCACAACCAGCAGCTCAATGGGGAATGGACGGGCACTGTATGGGGCATAAGGTGCTTGAGATGGGTACGAGGAAGGAGAGTGGATGAGGAGGAGGAGGAGGAGGAGGAGGAGGAGGAGGAGGAGGAGGAGGAGGAGGAGGAGGAGGAGGAGGAGGAGGAGGAGGAGGAGGAGGAGGAGGAGGAGGAGGAGGAGGGGGGGGGGGGGGGGAGGGGGAGGAGGAGGAGGAGGAGGAGGAGGAGGAGGAGGAGGAGGAGGAGGAGGAGGAGGAGGAGGAGGAGGAGGGGGGGGGGGGGAGGGGGAGGATGAGGAGGAGGAGGGGGAGGGGGAGGAGGGTGAGGAGGAGGAGGAGGGGGAGGGGGAGGAGGGTGAGGAGGAGGGGGAGGGGGAGGAGGGGGAGGATGAGGAGGAGGAGGGGGAGGGGGAGGAGGAGGAGGGGGAGGGGGAGGAGGAGGAGGGGGAGGGGGAGGAGGAGGAGGGGGGAGGGTGTTGGAGGGGGAGGGGGAGGAGGAGCAAAGGGAGGAGGGGCTTACAAGTCATAAAGGTTTCTCAGGGAAGTGAGCGATTTTGGAATGCTCCCTTCCAACTGGTTGCTCCTCAAATCCCTTCAGCCGGGGTAGACGAGAACGGACAGATAAGCAATCATGGACTGATGAATAACTAGGAAACGGTAGATTAATGTACCAACAGACAGGTTCAGACGAGGTAAGAAGAGGTCGAATTAGGTGAGACAGTGTCTGATGGGATCAAGCGATGGCGGATGTGGCGAGGTGAGTCCAACGGAGGCACAGAGGGAAGTGAGTGTGAGAGCATGAAGTGCATGTGTGGGTAGATCGGGTGGCACAGAGTGTGGTGGAGTGGAAACACCCTGCGTGCATGCATGGTGAGGAGGGGTAAGTATAAAGTGGACAGGAGTAAGCACACGATAAGAGCGTGCAGTGCAGTGTGGGGGAGAAAAGTGCAGTGTGGAAGAGAAAAGTGCAGTGTGGAAGAGAAAAGTGCAGTGTGGAAGAGAAAAGTGCAGTGTGGAAGAGAAAAGTGCAGTGTGGAAGAGAAAAGTGCAGTGTGGAAGAGAAAAGTGCAGTGTGGAAGAGAAAAGTGCAGTGTGGAAGAGAAAAGTGCAGTGTGGAAGAGAAAAGTGCAGTGTGGAAGAGAAAAGTGCAGTGTGGAAGAGAATAGAAAAGTGCAGTGTGGAAGAGAAAAGTGCAGTGTGGAAGAGAAAAGTGCAGTGTGGAAGAGAAAAGTGCAGTGTGGAAGAGAAAAGTGCAGTGTGGAAGAGAAAAGTGCAGTGTGGAAGAGAAAAGTGCAGTGTGGAAGAGAAAAGTGCAGTGTGGAAGAGAAAAGTGCAGTGTGGAAGAGAAAAGTGCAGTGTGGAAGAGAAAAGTGCAGTGTGGAAGAGAAAAGTGCAGTGTGGAAGAGAAAAGTGCAGTGTGGAAGAGAAAAGTGCAGTGTGGAAGAGAAAAGTGCAGTGTGGAAGAGAAAAGTGCAGTGTGGAAGAGAAAAGTGCAGTGTGGAAGAGAAAAGTGCAGTGTGGAAGAGAAAAGTGCAGTGTGGAAGAGAAAAGTGCAGTGTGGAAGAGAAAAGTGCAGTGTGGAAGAGAAAAGTGCAGTGTGGAAGAGAAAAGTGCAGTGTGGAAGAGAAAAGTGCAGTGTGGAAGAGAAAAGTGCAGTGTGGAAGAGAAAAGTGCAGTGTGGAAGAGAAAAGTGCAGTGTGGAAGAGAAAAGTGCAGTGTGGAAGAGAAAAGTGCAGTGTGGAAGAGAAAAGTGCAGTGTGGAAGAGAAAAGTGCAGTGTGGAAGAGAAAAGTGCAGTGTGGAAGAGAAAAGTGCAGTGTGGAAGAGAAAAGTGCAGTGTGGAAGAGAAAAGTGCAGTGTGGAAGAGAAAAGTGCAGTGTGGAAGAGAAAAGTGCAGTGTGGAAGAGAAAAGTGCAGTGTGGAAGAGAAAAGTGCAGTGTGGAAGAGAAAAGTGCAGTGTGGAAGAGAAAAGTGCAGTGTGGAAGAGAAAAGTGCAGTGTGGAAGAGAAAAGTGCAGTGTGGAAGAGAAAAGTGCAGTGTGGAAGAGAAAAGTGCAGTGTGGAAGAGAAAAGTGCAGTGTGGAAGAGAAAAGTGCAGTGTGGAAGAGAAAAGTGCAGTGTGGAAGAGAAAAGTGCAGTGTGGAAGAGAAAAGTGCAGTGTGGAAGAGAAAAGTGCAGTGTGGAAGAGAAACGTGCAGTGTGGAAGAGAAACGTGCAGTGTGGAAGAGAAACGTGCAGTGTGGAAGAGAAAAGTGCAGTGTGGAAGAGAAACGTGCAGTGTGGAAGAGAAAAGTGCAGTGTGGAAGAGAAACGTGCAGTGTGGAAGAGAAAAGTGCAGTGTGGAAGAGAAAAGTGCAGTGTGGAAGAGAAAAGTGCAGTGTGGAAGAGAAAAGTGCAGTGTGGAAGAGAAAAGTGCAGTGTGGAAGAGAAACGTGCAGTGTGGAAGAGAAACGTGCAGTGTGGAAGAGAAAAGTGCAGTGTGGAAGAGAAACGTGCAGTGTGGAAGAGAAACGTGCAGTGTGGAAGAGAAACGTGCAGTGTGGAAGAGAAACGTGCAGTGTGGAAGAGAAACGTGCAGTGTGGAAGAGAAACGTGCAGTGTGGAAGAGAAACGTGCAGTGTGGAAGAGAAACGTGCAGTGTGGAAGAGAAAAGTGCAGTGTGGAAGAGAAACGTGCAGTGTGGAAGAGAAACGTGCAGTGTGGAAGAGAAACGTGCAGTGTGGAAGAGAAACGTGCAGTGTGGAAGAGAAACGTGCAGTGTGGAAGAGAAACGTGCAGTGTGGAAGAGAAACGTGCAGTGTGGAAGAGAAACGTGCAGTGTGGAAGAGAAACGTGCAGTGTGGAAGAGAAACGTGCAGTGTGGAAGAGAAACGTGCAGTGTGGAAGAGAAACGTGCAGTGTGGAAGAGAAACGTGCAGTGTGGAAGAGAAACGTGCAGTGTGGAAGAGAAACGTGCAGTGTGGAAGAGAAACGTGCAGTGTGGAAGAGAAACGTGCAGTGTGGAAGAGAAACGTGCAGTGTGGAAGAGAAACGTGCAGTGTGGAAGAGAAACGTGCAGTGTGGAAGAGAAACGTGCAGTGTGGAAGAGAAACGTGCAGTGTGGAAGAGAAAAGTGCAGTGTGGAAGAGAAACGTGCAGTGTGGAAGAGAAACGTGCAGTGTGGAAGAGAAACGTGCAGTGTGGAAGAGAAAAGTGCAGTGTGGAAGAGAAAAGTGCAGTGTGGAAGAGAAAAGTGCAGTGTGGAAGAGAAAAGTGCAGTGTGGAAGAGAAAAGTGCAGTGTGGAAGAGAAAAGTGCAGTGTGGAAGAGAAAAGTGCAGTGTGGAAGAGAAAAGTGCAGTGTGGAAGAGAAAAGTGCAGTGTGGAAGAGAAAAGTGCAGTGTGGAAGAGAAAAGTGCAGTGTGGAAGAGAAAAGTGCAGTGTGGAAGAGAAAAGTGCAGTGTGGAAGAGAAAAGTGCAGTGTGGAAGAGAAAAGTGCAGTGTGGAAGAGAAACGTGCAGTGTGGAAGAGAAACGTGCAGTGTGGAAGAGAAACGTGCAGTGTGGAAGAGAAACGTGCAGTGTGGAAGAGAAACGTGCAGTGTGGAAGAGAAACGTGCAGTGTGGAAGAGAAACGTGCAGTGTGGAAGAGAAACGTGCAGTGTGGAAGAGAAACGTGCAGTGTGGAAGAGAAACGTGCAGTGTGGAAGAGAAACGTGCAGTGTGGAAGAGAAACGTGCAGTGTGGAAGAGAAACGTGCAGTGTGGAAGAGAAACGTGCAGTGTGGAAGAGAAACGTGCAGTGTGGAAGAGAAACGTGCAGTGTGGAAGAGAAACGTGCAGTGTGGAAGAGAAACGTGCAGTGTGGAAGAGAAACGTGCAGTGTGGAAGAGAAACGTGCAGTGTGGAAGAGAAACGTGCAGTGTGGAAGAGAAACGTGCAGTGTGGAAGAGAAACGTGCAGTGTGGAAGAGAAACGTGCAGTGTGGAAGAGAAACGTGCAGTGTGGAAGAGAAACGTGCAGTGTGGAAGAGAAACGTGCAGTGTGGAAGAGAAACGTGCAGTGTGGAAGAGAAACGTGCAGTGTGGAAGAGAAACGTGCAGTGTGGAAGAGAAACGTGCAGTGTGGAAGAGAAACGTGCAGTGTGGAAGAGAAACGTGCAGTGTGGAAGAGAAACGTGCAGTGTGGAAGAGAAACGTGCAGTGTGGAAGAGAAACGTGCAGTGTGGAAGAGAAACGTGCAGTGTGGAAGAGAAACGTGCAGTGTGGAAGAGAAACGTGCAGTGTGGAAGAGAAACGTGCAGTGTGGAAGAGAAACGTGCAGTGTGGAAGAGAAACGTGCAGTGTGGAAGAGAAACGTGCAGTGTGGAAGAGAAACGTGCAGTGTGGAAGAGAAACGTGCAGTGTGGAAGAGAAACGTGCAGTGTGGAAGAGAAACGTGCAGTGTGGAAGAGAAACGTGCAGTGTGGAAGAGAAACGTGCAGTGTGGAAGAGAAACGTGCAGTGTGGAAGAGAAACGTGCAGTGTGGAAGAGAAACGTGCAGTGTGGAAGAGAAACGTGCAGTGTGGAAGAGAAACGTGCAGTGTGGAAGAGAAACGTGCAGTGTGGAAGAGAAACGTGCAGTGTGGAAGAGAAACGTGCAGTGTGGAAGAGAAACGTGCAGTGTGGAAGAGAAACGTGCAGTGTGGAAGAGAAACGTGCAGTGTGGAAGAGAAACGTGCAGTGTGGAAGAGAAACGTGCAGTGTGGAAGAGAAACGTGCAGTGTGGAAGAGAAACGTGCAGTGTGGAAGAGAAACGTGCAGTGTGGAAGAGAAACGTGCAGTGTGGAAGAGAAACGTGCAGTGTGGAAGAGAAACGTGCAGTGTGGAAGAGAAACGTGCAGTGTGGAAGAGAAACGTGCAGTGTGGAAGAGAAACGTGCAGTGTGGAAGAGAAACGTGCAGTGTGGAAGAGAAACGTGCAGTGTGGAAGAGAAACGTGCAGTGTGGAAGAGAAACGTGCAGTGTGGAAGAGAAACGTGCAGTGTGGAAGAGAAACGTGCAGTGTGGAAGAGAAACGTGCAGTGTGGAAGAGAAACGTGCAGTGTGGAAGAGAAACGTGCAGTGTGGAAGAGAAACGTGCAGTGTGGAAGAGAAACGTGCAGTGTGGAAGAGAAACGTGCAGTGTGGAAGAGAAAACGTGCAGTGTGGAAGAGAAACGTGCAGTGTGGAAGAGAAACGTGCAGTGTGGAAGAGAAACGTGCAGTGTGGAAGAGAAACGTGCAGTGTGGAAGAGAAACGTGCAGTGTGGAAGAGAAACGTGCAGTGTGGAAGAGAAACGTGCAGTGTGGAAGAGAAACGTGCAGTGTGGAAGAGAAACGTGCAGTGTGGAAGAGAAACGTGCAGTGTGGAAGAGAAACGTGCAGTGTGGAAGAGAAACGTGCAGTGTGGAAGAGAAACGTGCAGTGTGGAAGAGAAACGTGCAGTGTGGAAGAGAAACGTGCAGTGTGGAAGAGAAACGTGCAGTGTGGAAGAGAACGTGCAGTGTGGAAGAGAAACGTGCAGTGTGGAAGAGAAACGTGCAGTGTGGAAGAGAAACGTGCAGTGTGGAAGAGAAACGTGCAGTGTGGAAGAGAAACGT